CTGGGGGGAGTGTAATCAATACCAAGCATTCAGCTTGCTAACATGAAGCACATTTCATACAAAGCTGGACATTTTTCTCCTTGTCATACAGAATTATCTTAATTATTGTTTCAAGGGACAGCCTTATATAGCATCATCTAGTAGTCCGGGAGGCGGCTCAGAAACTCGTCACTGAAATAATTTATGATTTTTCTTTCTAACATCTTGGTCTTGTTTGATATGCTTGCCATTTCTCCCTGACAGGGAGGTCGATTAAATCACATTTATATTGTAAACGTATGCATTGCTTTTTACCCAAGGCGCTGGATGAAGAGATAGAGGGGCCCCAAGGGAGGGAGAAGCCAATCCACTTTCATATTGCAAATTTCTGCTGTTCGGAAGAAATGAATGGTTGCCAGGGAGAACTGGGAATTACTTGAGGATGCAAAATGTTATTTTAGAATCCTTTTGAGAGGGTTTTTTCCTCCCCCATCTCCTTCAGCATTTTCACTTCTCCAGCTGCTAATGGAGGCCAGGACCAGTCTCTATGCAAACACCAAAGGAATGCACCTCGCTGGCTTTCTTCAGGGAATGGGCCTGAGCCAAATTTCGTGCTGGCAGACCTGAAGCAGGCTGCCTCTTGCTCTCAAATGAGGGTGGTGGGCACAGAGAAAAAAGGAGCTATTCACATTTTCCAGGGTATTTGATTGTCCCATCCGGGGCTTGATGAGGACCCTCTGGAAGCTGGTTGTTGGATTTGGTGTTGGGGGTGGGAGTTGTAAATAATAGAAAGTGTTGAAAATGAAGAGGGGAAAGGTCATTAGCAGGGACCAGGAAGAAGTGACACTGTACCATCATTAACCTAACCGAACTAATTAGGAAACATTCAGATTTTATAAATTATGCAAGACGCTCAATTTATACTTTTTCAAATTCCTACCATAACATAGATAATGAGGGAACATTTACAGTAACAGTGTAACCTAATCAAGAAACCCTTTCATTAGCATGAAATCTTCCAACACGGTGTTTGCGAGCACAACAAACGGAATTATAGATGCTGGGGGAAGCCAGGGGATAGGCTGGATTTGGGGAGGATGGAAAGGGTATGCTGAGTTCACATTCAGCAAGGCCTGTGGCTCTAAGAAGCCTTCCCTTCCCACCTCCAGCATGAAATAGAGGTTTCTTAGGGCTCAGTCTTGCAAAAGGGCCAGAGAGATCTGGAAGGTCCCTGTGACTTCCCAGTCCATTCTGGGGTGTAAGTTAGCTGGTGGGTGATTTATAACCGTCTCTTCTGTCTTGACTCTCTAAGCCTGGAAGACTGATAACCAAGAGCAAGACCAGCCTTTTCTACAGGTAGAAATACCCTTTCCCAAGAGGCCATAAGCCAGGCTCCCGTTGAAGGTGTTGTCCTCCATAAATATTGGACAAATGCTTTAAGTCCATTCATGGAGGTGACTTTGCCTGGTAGTTCTGAGCTCACTGCTAGTGGACAGAAGACAAGGAAGATAGTCCAAGTACCATTACAGAATCCCAGGACTCAAAAGGATCCCACCAAGATCAGTGGGGCCAGCTGAATCCCTCCAGTAAGAACTCATTGCCTCCTAGGAAAGCATAAATAATTATCAAGCCTTTCAAAGGCTCTCATAGGAAAGTGGCAAAAAGCAGAGGCTTCCAGTGACCTGTACAATTGCTGACCCTCCGGGTAGTGGGTTGGATGGTGGCTCTTATATCAGTCAAAATGCAACAGACTGGGTGGCTTTAATAACAAATATTTATTCCCACAGCTAGGAAGCTAGGAAGTCTGAGATCAAGGTGCAAGCAAGGTAGGTACTATTCTGAGGCCTCTTCTTGTGGCTCATAGGTGCCTACCATCTCACTGTGTGCTCACATAACCTCTTCTTTGTATACACAGAGAGAATCAGAGAGAGAGAGAGACAGACAGAGACAAAGACAGACAGAGAAACAGAGAGAGAGAGAGGGAGAGAGAGAGAGAAAGAGAAAGTGCTCTAATGTCTCTTTTTATAAGGGCACTAATACTCTCATGACCTCACCTAAGCCTAATTACCTCCCAAAGGCTCTATTTCCAAATACCATCACAATGGGGGGTAGAACGTCAACATGTGAATTTGGGGGAGACACATTCAGTCCATAACTCCCCCCAAAGGTATGTCCATGCAGTTTGTAAATGTGACCCTATCTGGACTAGGGCTATTCATAGATGTAATTAAATTAAGGATCTTGAAATGATATTACTCTGAATTATCTGAATGGGCCCTAAATCCAAATCAAGACACAGAGGAGCAGGCAAGGAGTTTCGAGCAATGTGTTTACAAATCAAAGAGCACCCAAGAATTGCTGCTGGTAGCCACCAGAAGCTGCGATAGACAAGGAAAGATTCTCCTCTAGAACCTTTGAAGGCAGTGTGGCCCTGTCTCCCTTATTTTAGACTTGTGGTTTCCAGAATTGTGAGAAAATGACTTTATGTTATTTTCAGTTACCCAGTTTGTGTGGTAATTTCTTACAGCAGCACTAGGAAACTAATACACTCTCTAAGTGTATTGATCAGGGCTCTCAAGAGAACAAATAGCAAAGAGATTTATTAGAAAGAATTGGCTCATGCAATTACAGAGACTAAGAAGTCCCATAATCTGCCATCTATAAGCTGGAGGCCCAAGAAAACCAGTAGTATAGTTCCAGTTTGAATCTGAAGGCCTGCGAACCAGGAGAGCTAATGGTGTAAGTTCTAGTCTAAGTCTAAAGGCCTAAGACCAGAGAGCCAATGGGGTAAGTCCCCAGCCCAAGGGCGGGAGAAGGTGAATGTTCCAGACTAATCAGTCAGGTAAAGAGAGAGATTGCTCCCTTCCTCCGTCTTTTTGTTCCATACCGGCCCTCAATGGCTTGGATGAGGCCCATTCACAATGGAGAGAGCAGTCTGCTTTACTCAGTCTGCTGATCCAAATGCTAGTGTCTTCCAAAAATGCTCTCACAGAAACTCCCAGAAAAAGCATTTCACCAACTATCTGGGTACCCTATGACTCAGTCAAGTTGCCACATAAAATTAACCCTCACATTAAGTCTCTTTGTCCACCATCTGCAATGTCCTGCATGTAGTATGTGTTCCATAGATGTGAGCAACTGGTATTAGGTAGAGCTGAGATCTGCCTCTAGCTCTTGTTCTACCCATTGGTCCTGATTCTAAGCCCCTAGTGCCACAGAGAATAGCCTGCTCCCCTCCTACCTTCAGAAACCTGAAGACAAGGGTATTTTATGCTCACAGCTAGATACCCCTTATTCATTCTACTGCTTCTTATACAACATAGGTGTGCATCATCTTACTGTTCTGGTAGTGAGACACTATTCTGTTTTTTGGGCAAACCTAGGCACAAGCCATGAGATGAACATAGGTGAAATAGAGTGCAACTTTCACTTCACTTATTCTAGAACCATTCATTTATTCACTCATCATTCATTCACTGAACAAAATATTGTAAAGATCTCAGAGCTGAGGATATAGTGATGAAAATAGATGAAATCCCTACTCTTATAGAGTTTTCAGACTAGCTTACTCCCTACTTCTCCCCCATCCCAACACACACACCCAGCAAGGACTCAATTGTGTGAGCAAGGCACCACTGTGGGCAAACCCTACCTTAGTTCTGAGTTCCTTCAGACCCAAGAACCTTGTGTGAGTCTAAGCCCAGGGCTCCATGGTTCTGTCTTTCATCAAAGTCTGGCATCCCCAGCACTGCAATCCTCCCAGGCAGTAGGGCTATTTCCAGTGCCGTCACGGAGATTACCTTCGCTATAGCTGTTCAGAGTGTGAGCTTCAATTACCCAATCTCTGGTTCAAGGAAACCCACGTCAGCGCCGGGGAATGTTCTCTCCCACATCATCACCCAGGTTTGCACATTCCCTCCAGTAATTTGCAAGCTATAGACTATAAATTCTGCCAGGAGGAAGCCAGGGACAATGATGTCCTGCTTTGCTTTCATAGCGAGTGGGAGGGATGGATCTTGGGTTTCTCTCCCTCTAGTTTTACCACTTACTAAGAAAAGAGAAAGAAGCAAAATGTTTCAAAAATTACTCCCAAATGTTCCTCTAAAAGCCTTAGGCTGACTCTGGCTGCCAGTGAACTATTCATAGGGTGACAATTTCATAGATCTTGGTCAATGAGCATAAATCTCTGCTTTGGGTGGGGCGATACTGTCCCCAGTTTGAGCAAGCACACACACAGTTGTTCCCAAATTTCTAGCCATTTGTCACCAGAATGGCACATCTAAATAATAAGCTAGAGGTTTCTCATCCAGAGGTTTGGGGATCAACCCAAAATCGTGCAAACGAGTATCTGAGATAACTATTTTCTAAAGGTGGAAGAAGAGCATCTTAGATCTGCAGCCAGCCCAAGTTCCCATAAGCCCACAGAGCCAGTTAGCAGAGAGACCTCTCCATCTTGTAGATGAGAGAACTGAGGCCCCCTGAGGTTGGAGAAGGAAAGAGTTTAGAATTAACAGATTGTTGGATTAGATTATTATTGAGACTAGATGAAACCATTCAAATGCTGTGTTCATCCAGTGACGTCAGCAGGACACAGTGATCATCTCCATTCTATGGCACAGCAAATAGGGACCTTCATAGGTGATGCTCAGCACTCGGTGTCCTGGTCAGTCAGTGTAGAATCAGGTATTTGAGCTCTAGTCCATTGCTCTTGCATATACACTCCAGTAGTAGCCTCTTATCCATCAGGTTAGAGTGAGCTCAAACCTATGCCTAGCTCTGAAGAAGATAAGAACAGTCATATGGCACATTTGGAAGTGATATTTCATGACTTTAAGTAAAAATACAAGGGGAAATATGTGTTTCAATTGCATCATTTTAGTACCTAAGACTTAATGAGAGTAAGAGGTGAGGATGTGGAGTGGGAGGGAGTACAAAGGAGAGAGTAGGGCAGAGCCAATGTGTGGGGAGAAGCAGGAACACCTTACGGAAAGAGACTGTGGCACCATACTACACACAATTTCCCTTCGGTCTCAATTTCCTGTGAGGCCTCACTGAGGTGCAAATCCTGTTTCTGAAGCTCCAGGAAAACCTGTATCTTTCAACAAAACTTCTTCAAGAGCTGCTTGAGCAGTCCTCTCTTCCTGGCAATTAAACGAACCCAAGTGAAAATGTCTGTGACCATCTCCCCAAACCACACTTGTCAGTGCACAGGTTTCATCCTTTCTTTCTCTCAGATGCACATGAGCATCAACATTCCAAGGTATAGCCCTCTCCTATGGTGCTTGTGTCCTGGCTACAGAATTGCCCAGATCCACTTCAAAAGTCATTTAGCTACAGTGCTTTATTCACAGTAACAACTAACTCAGATCAAACTCACCTGATAGTGAGATGCTAGTTACTGCACCATGTTGGACATACTCTGTGCTATTGAATTTTTGTTACAGGCCAGGGACACAAGGTAAACAACATTGACAATGGAACAGAAGAGCAAGTGAAGTTTGTTGGAGACCAGAAGAGACTTCAGACAGGGGAGTCAAGGAGTCTTCCCAGAGGGAATGCCACTAAACTGGACCTTAATGGAATGTCCACTTGTAGGAAGGGTGAGGAGAGGGTGGGAAGGGTATTCCAGGCAATGAGGTAAGGGTGTGGGGGCATGAACACATCCAGCTCATTTGGAGAATGCTGATATACGCTATTGATCTCAGCCTGCCTCATCAGCTATCAGCTATGGCTACTAATATCTCTTGAGGGACATGGGTGACAAAGAACAGGAAGAAAACAAAGTCATATTTCTTTTCAAATTTCCTGCTTTGCTCCAATCAGTTAAAGGCCAGTGATGTCACCAGATGTTATTATGTATGATGAGATACCCTGGGGATGCAGCTTTTTCCGAATTTCACCGATGAGGCACATGTGGCCCAGAAAGGTGAAGTAATTTACCTGAGGTCACCCAGCAAGATAATAAAATAGCCATGACAAGGATCCATTTTTGCCGACCCCAGACCCCTGGCATGTTCCACTATACCTTTTTCAGGGCAGCCAGCTGTGAACATCTTTTGATTCTCTCCCCAGTGGACTCTATAGTGAGGACTCTCAGGACCTAGCCTTTCATTATTTTTAATGCTGTTTACATATGAGAAAAAGACAAGATACACGAGGTGGTCAGAAGGTACAAAAGAGCACCCAGTCAAGTTTAACACTCCTGGGAGCTATAGTGCTCCTCCCTTCTCCCTCTACCTCTCCACCAAACTCCTCTGATTGTTAGGAAATTAATTGAGGCTGCCATCTGACTCCTAGCTGAGGGGCTGAGGTTGAGTCAGAGAATTGATGGCCTCTCCTGGCAGTGATGGAGGGGCTGGGGGCAGCCAAGGTTAGAAATGCAATTTCACAGAGGAGTTGAGGACGGCATGGGGGAGGGGAGAAGGGGCAGAGAGGAAAGAGGGATTAGTATGGAGAGCCACTGAGGGCTGGTGGCAGGTTTCCACAGCCAAGCTTGGGGCTCCCTGGAGGCTGAAGAAAAGTGAACTCTCTCTGTTTGTTTCTACAAAGAGTGCCTTCTTAGGAGACCAGCTTTTCCCCCTTCTAAATCTCTGTGCCCTTTAAGACTTAGTTTTCTTCCCTCAGGAAGTCTCCCTTGACCACCTTCAAGGCCAAGCTATAAACCCCTCCTCTCCTACAATCCCATAATATTACTCTATCTCAGCCCTTACTGCTTGGTACTGGGATTGTGTGTGTGTTTATGTATTTGGTGTTTGTTTTTGTGTGTGTGTTTGTGTGTATGTGTGTATGCATGTTTGTGTGTTTGTATGTATATGTGTTTGTGTGCATGTGTGTATAGTGTGTGTGTATGTGTGTGTGTGTGTGTGTGTGTGCTGGTTCTCTGCTGGACATGGACTGCTTGAGGGTATATCAAAGGAATTTCTGTTTCCTCAGGGCCTGGACCTAGGAAAATCTCAACACATGAGCGAGTGAGTGAATGAATGAACTAACAAATGGACTATCTTTGGGACACATCTTGGAGGAGAGAGGGCTGCTTCATTGGTTGTCTGTCCACTCTACTAAGAGCTAGCCTCCTTGAGGGCAAGGATTTGGTCTAGATTGAGCACCGCTGGGAACCCAGTGTCTACAGCAGGGTGTCTTAGCCCCAGCACTACTGATGTTTGGGGCCAGATAATTCTTCATCGTCAGGGTCATCCTGTGCATTGTAGAATGTTTAACAGCATCTCTGGTCTCTACCCTCTTGATGCCAATAGCAGCCCCTGGCTCCCAGTTATGACAGTCAAAAATGTCTCCAGATGTTGTCAAATGTCCTCTGGAGGGCAAAATAGCCCCTAGTTGAGAAATATGGGCCAAAGGGGATGTTTGGCACAGAGTCAGCTCTAACTAATATTGTTGACTAACTAGCTGACCTTTCAGAGCCTTGCAGCTATCTCTGGCTTGCCCAGGTTGACTGCCAGCCCAAATAATTTTGAAAAAGGAAAACAAAGTCAGAGGACTCAAACTTCTCAATTTCAAAGCCTACTAAAGAGCAACAGTAATCAAGATAGTTTGATATTGGCATAAGGATATAATCAATGGAATAGAGAGTCCAAAAGTAAACTCATATGTTTATGGTCAACTGATTTTTGACAACGGTGCCAAGACCATTCAATAGGGGAAAATAATAGTGTTTTCAACAGATCATGTTGGGAAAAGTGGTTAACTATATGCGAAAGAATGAAGTTGAATGCTTACCTCATACCATATACAAAAATTAACTGGAAGTGGATCAAAGACCTAAATGTAAGAGCAAAAACTACAAAACTTAGAAGAAAACATAGGAGTAAATCTTCATAACTCTGAATTTGGCAAAAGGTTCTCAGATATGACACCAAAATCACAGCAACAAAAGAAATATAGAAAAACTGGATTTCATCAGAATTAAAAACTTTTGTGCTTCAAAGGATACCATCAAAAAAGCGAAAAGGCAAACCACACAATGAGAAGAAATATTTCTAAATTATATATCTGATAAGGGTTTGTATCTAGAATATACAAAGACGTCTTATAACTCAATAATATAAAATCAAATAGCCCAATTAAAAAATAGGCAAAAGATCTGAATAGACATTTCTCCAAAGAAGATATGCAAATGGCCTATTGTCCAATTGGCACATGAAAAATGCTCAATATCATTAGTCACCAGAGAAATGCAAATCAAAACCACGATGAGATACCACTTCACACCCACTAGGATGGCTAAAAGCAAAGTCAGATAACAAGTGTTGACAAGGATATGGAATGATTAGAAACCTCATATGGTGCTGGTGGGAATATAAAATGGTGCAGCCACTTTCAAAAATAGTCTAGCTGTTCTCAGAAAACTTAAACATAGAGTTGCTTCATGACCCAAAAGTTCCACTTCTAGGTATATACACATAAGAGAAATGAAAACATATCCACACAGAAAATATACACAAATGTATACAACTCAAACATCTATCAACAGATGAATGGCTAAACAAAACACGGCTATTCAGCCACAAAGTGGAATGAAGAACTGATAGATGCTACGACACAGTTGAACCTTGAAAACATTGTCCTAAGTGAAAGAAGACAGTCACCAAAGACTACATACTGTATGATTCCATTTATATGAAAGTCCAAAGTAGGCAAATCTATAAAAACAAAAAGTAGATTAGTGGTTTCTTAGTTTTCTTAGAGCTGGGGTAAATGATGGAAGAGCAGAGGCATGACAGCTAAAGGGTACAGAGCTTCTTCTTGAGGTGATGAAAATGTTCTAAAACTGA